CAAACGGGCCGGATCTGGCCCGCGGGCCGTAGTTTGCCCACGGCTGGTCTAGAAGTTAATTCCATCATTCTGGTTTTATTATTCTCCTGGCCTTGTTTTCTGCATGTGTGATGGAGAATCTGGTTTCAAGTCTGCCTATTCATCAGGTAACCCGGGCCAAACAACCCCAGAACATTCCTGAGTGATTACTATGAAACTGCTGGGTAAAGTGAAAGTTGGTTTGTGAAGAGCATTTCCCGTATGTCCTTGGTTTCAGGCCTGTTTGAGGGCCATTTCTGCTGAAACGAGTTCTGTAATCAAAGACACATTGAGTCATTCACTAATGTAGAGTCAGCAAAACTTTATGAATTTCTGTTGTGTGCCACGAATTGCCCTTGTTGGTGAGGCAGTGGTAACACAGTCTTCTTCAGAGATTCCTTGGTTAAGGAATGCTCTCTGAGTAAGACCCTTAGGGGTCTGAGACATAGAAGGTGTACTTTCTGCCTTCAAGAACTGATGACTATGACAGGTTCATACAGTCTCCTGTCTTCTTTCTGCAGCTCAGTAAACGCTCTGCCACTGAGCTGTGCGGCCGGAATGATGGAAACCTTAAGGTGATATTCCCTGATGTAGAGATGGAGGATGCCACTGACTCTGGGCTCAGGGTCAGAGCTCAGCCTGGGGACTATGTGCTGGTGAAGGTAAGGTGTCCTTTTGGGATTTTGGCTTGCCCTGTGAGTGGGGTGTTGGGTTGAGTAATTTAGGGGAATGAAATTTTTTCTTGGAGAAATTCTTTAGTAAAATAAAACTCTCTTCTCAATCTAAACAATGGAAGAGCACCTTGAATTAAATTTTAGACTGTTTCTAACTAATGCCTTCTTGTTTTTCTTCTCTTTTTGGGAATTTGGTGAGGTTGGAGTACATGGTAGCATATAGTTTCTGGGTGCAGAGAGGCCCGGAAGTATAAGTGATTTTTAGTGGGTTGATAGTTCTCTGAAGCACCAGGAGTTTAAGGAGTTTGCTCAGGGTCACACACCAGCACATGGTAATGTAGGGATTTAAACTGAGGCAGCTCAGATCCTGAGTCTACATTTTTAACCATCGTACTATTCAGTCTTTCTCATAGTTCTCTCTGCCAGAGATCAGCGTGCCCTTCAAGGTCTCTGATGCTCCAGGCATCCCTAACTTACATGTGCTCCAGTTTCCTGGGTCTCTTCCCTGGACTGACAGATCTAGCTGAATGGCTGTGGAATTTCGCCTTTCTTCTCCCCCCACCCCCGCACCCCTTCTCCTTCACTGGGATAGTCCTCCTTTCTTCTCTCCTTCCTTCTTACACTTTCACAGGTCTGCTGTTGCCATCTTCCTTTCCTTCTGGTCCTCATGTCCACTTTGCTCCAGAACCAGAGGCTGGCAGGACACACACTGATGAGGCAGGCAGGAGCAACGCTGCTTCTCCAACACTGAGCTCTGGAGCATCTGCAAAAGGGAGAGCGGAGAGAGGGGTTTCTTTTTCTGCTTATGTTGATCAGTGTTTTGTTCTCTTACCTATTTCTTAGTGCCTTACTTTCTACTCTGCTTTCTGTACTTGCTCTTACTGTCACCTTCGTCTTAAATCATGGGAGCCATGGTCCATGGCTTGCAGCTGAGGGAGGCTCATTCCCTGGCACATTACGTTTTTGGATTGACCAGGAAATTTTTATCAACACGGTACTTTTTCTGTCTGGCCATCTGACAAAAACTTACAACACAATCAATTAGCTAGTTGGTGACTTTATGATCCCACTCCCTTCTGTCCTTGTCCTGACTGGGGATTGTTTTACTTACACATTGCCTAGGCATTTTCTAAGTAGAATAATTCCTACTAAGCAGCAATGTGATTGATCTAGAAACAATCCCTTTGTTTTTTTTTACACTGTCTTATTTCTCTCTCTTTTGAGTGTTTGTTTCTTTGATTTTCAGTTGCCTTCCCAAACCTCTTCCTGTCTTTACACTGTAGCTAAGGGTTATTTGGAAAAAGGAATGAGGTTGGTGGGCTGGGTTTTAGTGTTAGTATGATACTCTTTTGTAAAATGGAAAAATTCCATTTGTTTAGAAAGGTGGAAAGTTATGCTGTGTTGCTTGGTAACTCTCTTTTATTCCTAAGTGACATAAGCCCCACAAGTAAGATTTAGTGGGAGCATTAAAATGAAGAAGGAGCTGTGGAACCAGGAATCTGTTGGCTTTTGCTCTCTGTTGCTCATCTCTGCTATTCTCCTTTGTCTTCACTTAAAGTTTCTGGGCTGTGCTTTAACCATTGTACTACTCCCTCATAAATTTCACTTTCTTATCTCTCTTCTATGGTGCTTATTTGATTAGACCTTAACCCTGGTAAAAGTTGTTATCTGCATCTGCCACCCTATCAGCTGAACATTTCTGGGGGGAAAGCACAAAGTTAACCTGTATTATGTAGGATAGGTCAGATGATGGTGATTGAAAACTCAAAATATAGGGGGCTTAAATAAGGTAAGCATTCTCCTTCTCATAAAAATCTAGATATAGAAGGTCCAGGACTGGTGATTGTCATGGCTCCATGATCATAAAGGGTCCAGGGCCCTTCTGTTTGTGTTCTCTGTGTGTGTGTCGCCTCCATTCTGAAGGTTGCCTCATGATACAGTGTGGCTGCTCCAGCTGCCATTCCCATACTCTAGGCAGCAGGAAGGAGGAAGAAGAAAGGGGAAGGGCATGCCCTCTTTCTTTCAGGACACTGCATAAGTTCCACACACTATTTCTACCTTAATAACATATCTCACCAGGCTTCAAAGAATCTGAGAAATGTGGCCTTTCATAACCTGGGCATGTGCCTTTGACTGGAATCGAACCTTTCAGTCCACAGGCTGACGCTCTATCCACTGAGCTAAACCAGCTAGGGCTCCCACTCTCTTCTTAAATCTTCATCTACCTATCCAAACCCTAGTCTCAGCTGATGTCTGCCGTATATTTTATAGAGAAAATAGATACAGTCAGATGAAACCTCATTGTGTCATTATTTCCACCAGCTCACTCACATCTCTACCATACATGCCGTCTGCTCGCCTGGCACTCTACAGGAAGCATCTGCATCTTCTGTCAGTGCTGTTCCTTGTGCCTTCTCTCCCATCCTTCCCATCTTCTCAAGATAATTTCACTTTCCTTTCTCTCTTGCATTTTAATGTGGCTAAAATAGAATGAATTCTTCCCACTTTCCTGCAATTTTTATCTTTTTAAGACTTCTCCATCTTAATAAATGGCACCACTCACATGCTCAAGGCAAAAATCTGAGAATCATCCTAGATACTTACTTTCTTGTACTCCCATCCACAGTCCGTCTGTTTCAGCTCTTATGGAGTATATCTTGAACCTGACCATTTCTTTTCATTTCCAAGTCACCATCGTTTTGTAGCTGGGAGATTGTAGTATCCTCTTCACTGGTCTTCTGCTTCTATATTTTAAAATTGAATTATTTTATTAAAGTATATCATAAATGTAGAAAATTGCCACATTATAAGGGTACTACTTGGTGAATTATCATAAAGTGAACCTACCCATGTAACTAACACCCAAGTCAAGAAATAGAATATTTTCAGGACCCCAGACACCCCCCTTATGTTCCTACCAGTTGCCCTGCATTCTGATTTCTAATGCCATAGTTTAGTTTTGCCTATTTTTTATTGTTATATAATTGAATCATACAGTACATATACATTTTAAAAGTTTTAAAAAATAAGTTTTTATTGATTTCAGAGAGGAAGGAAGAAGGAGAGAAAGATAGAAACATGGATGAGAGAGAAACATCAATCAGTTGCCTTCTGCAGGCCCTCTGCTGGGGATTGAGCCTGAAACCTGGGCATGTGCCCTGATTGGGAATTGAACTGGTGACCTCCTGGTGCATGGGTCAGTGGTCAACCACTGAGCCACACCGGCCGGGCCAGTATATATTTTTGGTGCCTGTCTTCATTCCCTCAAACTTATGTTGTGCAGTTCATCCATGATTATACAGGAGTGGGCAAAAGTAGGTTTGCAGTTGTTCGTATGGAAAAAGACATGCAAGTTATGATTATTACAATAGCTTTATTAAATCTGTGTTTCAGGTACTCACAACTGTAAGCCTAATTTTGCCTACCCCTGTATTTATCCATATTATATGAATATACCACAACTTATTTATGCATTATACTGTTGTTGGCCATTTTGGTTGTTTCCAGTTTGGAGCTATTATGAGTGGAATTGCTATGATTGTTTCTGTACATGTGTTTTAGTGCACATACATTTTCATTTCTGTTGGGTATATGGCTTGGAATTGCTGGGTTATAGGGTTTGTATAATAGCCGAGGAGAGAGGGGCGGGGGAGACGGGAAGAGATTAACCAAAGAATTTATATGCATATATACATAGCTTTTGGACAAAGACAATAGTGTGGCGAAGGCCTGTGATGGTGTGGGAGCAGGGTGGAAGGGGGGATGGGGAGGGGAAATGGGGGACATCTGTAATACTGTCAACAATAAAAAATTAATTAAAAAAAAGAAATAGCCAAAGTGACTACCATTTTTTTTTTAAATATTCACTTGAGGATATTTTTCCATTGATTTTTTTAGAAAGGTACCCACTGGTACCTTTGGGGTTACATGCTTTTAGCTCTTAATTAGAGATGAAAGAGAGCCTTTCTCACCAAATTTTGGCCTTAAATATCCTAAGGAAGGATTTGACTGGTCCAGCCTGGATTACAGTTTACCACAGAGTTAGGGGGGCAGGGTCTGTGATGGGCAGCTCACAGCTGAACCTTGGTTGGTGCTGGGGAGGAGCCATCTCCCAAAAGAAAAGAAATGGCTGTTTGGGACTGACTACTTTTGGACTTTTAAAATCATATGCATTACCATTGCATCGAGCATCTCTTCCGCCCTGGATTGGGGGCATACAGGAACCACACAGTGTCTGCTGGCTGGCGCCCCCATCAGGGCCCTTGTTGTGGCCGCTCCTCTGGAGGCTCCACGTCATATACCTGTGGTGCAGTCTTGGTTACCTTGCCTTCTCCTGACTGATTTTCTTTCAGATTACCTCCGCCAGCTCTCAGACACTTCGAGGACATGTGCTCTGCAGGACCACTCTGAAGGACGCCTCAGCCTATTGCTCACCTGAGTGATGACTTCAGAGTTGATGTGGGCCGTCCTTCCTACCAGGAAGGGAGATATGACTGGTCACTAATGAAAGAAGTAATGAAGCATTGAAGACAAGCTGCAAGTGGTGAAGCAACTTTGTTAAATGGAAAAATGCATCTCGTTGCTGCTATATGAACAGCCGTTATAATCATTAAATGTACCTAAACTAAAGTGGTCCCTCTGTCTCTCTACATGATTATCATTTCTTCATTGGTAAGTGTTCCTGGGATTTTCTCTAGACCAGTGATGGCGAACCTTTTGAGCTCGGCGTGGCAGCATTTTGAAAAACCCTAACTTAACTCTGGTGCCGTGTCACATATAGAAATTTTTTGATATTTGCAACCATAGTAAAACAAAGACTTATATTTTTGATATTTATTTTATATATTTAAATGCCATTTAACAAAGAAAAATCAACCAAAAAAATGAGTTCGCATGTCACCTCTGACACGCGTGTCATAGGTTCGCCATCACTGCTCTAGAATGTCTGTGTTAAGTGATTCCCAAGCCAGTTTCTGCTGTGGACACTGCTAACCCCTCTGGTTTTCTCCCCTGAATCCTAGGAATTAGAGACTGAAGGAGAGGCCAAGGTGGAGAGAATCATTTGCTTGGGAAAACTGCTCTAGATCTTTCTAACATTTTGGTTTGATGACATTGACTCACCTGCTTATCTCCTCATTTTATTCTCATATTTTACCTGAGGATTTCCCTCTGGGCCTCGTTTTTAGCCGTCAATTCATTCCTTGCCTTCAGGGCTGACAGCACTTGGAGTTTTGGAAGACATCAGTATCTATTAGTAGGTTTTGGACACTCATTCTTGGCCCATTCACTACTAAGGTTATGCCATTTTCTGAGTAGCATGTATTCTGAAGCTCTGTTAATAGGAGAATAAACATTTAGAATTTTTATGTTCCCTTGATTGATTCCTTTGTCATTATAAAATGACCTCTTTAACCCTAGTAATATCTTTTGTTTTGAAATCTACATTGTCTAATATTCCTATAACCACTTTGGCTGACTCCTTCCCTCCCTTTTTATTGAGATTACAATTCACATAGCATTGATTTCACCATTTTAAAGTGTACAATTCACTGGTTTTTAGTATTTTCACAAGGTTGTGCAACTGTCGCCACTATCCAATTCTCTAACATCTTCATCTCTCCAAAAGAAACCCCATACATGTTAGTGGTCACTCTTCATTTTTCCGTCCCTCTATCCATTGGCAAACATTACTATATTGTCTGTCTCTGGATTTGCCTATTCTGGACATTTTGTATAAATTTAATACAGACAGTCCTCGGGTTACATCAGACTCGACATACGTTGTTTCGTGGTTACGTCGCCATCTCCCATTTATTTATTAAAAAAAAAAGTTCCGTCATTTCGACGTATGTACATATGTGCATGTTTTTTAATTTATTTACCACAAGTAAAGGTCAGGAATTGTTATCTTTCTTGTAAATTTTTTTACTGTTTCACTTCATTACTGCTGTGTATGTGCTCCATGTGAGTGATATAGTGCTTATGTAGGTGGACAGAGCTGAATGTGATAGTGTGATTTGGACTTTATTTTGTGGGGTGCTGCCCCTTACTGTGAGGAAAGCCCAGTCTCTGGTCCTGCTTGGCACCTCTAGTCTTGGTGTCCACAGTCTGAGCTCTTTTGTTGCCAATTTATGGCAAAAATCACGTTACATCGTGTCCCGTACGAACAGATCTCCAATGTAACCCGAGGACCTACTGTATAATATGTGGCCCGTGTCTGGCTTCTTTCACTAAGCACAGTGTTTTCAAGGTTCATCCATGTTGCATAATGTGTCAGTACTTTGTTCCTTTTTAAAATATATATATATTTATTGACTTCAAAGAGGGAGGGAGAGGGAGAGACAGAAACATTGGTGATGAGAGAGAATCATCAATCGGCTGCTTCCTGCACACCCCACACTGGAGATCAAGCCCGAACCCCGGGCATGTGCCCTGACTGAAAATTGAACCGTGACCTCCTGGTTCATAGATCGATGCTCAACCATTGAGCCACGCCGGCTGGGCTTATTCCTTCTTTTTTAATGGCTGTATAATGTCAATGTAATGGTAATAGAATGTATTGATTATTAGTTCAATCTCCTTACCAGTTTTAGATCTACTTATATTTCCCATTTCTTCTTGAGCCAGATTTGGTAGTTTATGTGCTTCAAGGACTTTGTTCATTTCAGTCAGGTTATCTAATTTGTTGGCATACAATTCGTCATAGTATTCTTTTATAATCCCTTTATTTCTCTAAGATTGGTAGTAATAGCTCCTCTTTCATTTCTGATTTAGTAAGTTGAGTTTTCTCTCTATCAGTCTAGCTAAAATTTTGTGAATTTTGTTGATTGTTTCAAGGAATCAACTTTTGTTTTCATCAATTCTTTTGATTTTCTATTCTCTATTTCATTAGTCTCTGCCCTAATCTTTATATTTCATTTCTTCTGCTTCCTTTGGGTTTAGTTGGTTCTTCTTTCTCTAGGCCTTGAGGTGGAAGGTAATTTATTCATTCAAGATCTTCTTTTTCTTTATCTTTTAAAAAAAGGATCTATTATTTTAGAGCAGTTTTAAGTTTACAGCAAAATTGACTGGAAAGCACAGAGAATCCCCATATACCTCCTGCCCCCACACATGGACAGCCCCCTCACTATCACTGTCCCACATCAGAGTGTACATTTGATGAATCTACCTTGACTCACCATTAATACCCAAAGTCCATAGTTTATGCAAGGGTTCTCTCTTGGTATACACTCCGGGGTTTGACAAATGTATAATGACTTGTATCCTCCATTAAAGTATCATACAGAATAGTTTCATTGCCCTAAAATTCCTCTATGTTCTGCCTATTCTGTTTTCCACAGAGGTTGAACCATTTTTACATTCCTACCAGCAATGCATGAGGGTTCTGATTTTTTCATAGACTCATGAGCACTGGTTGGAAGGTTTTCAAGTAGGGAATGTGTATTTTTATAAAGAGCACTCTGGCTGCCAGGTGGAGGATGGATTATAGGTGACAAGGGCAGGGAGGCCAGTAGCCCTACTAAATGATGTTGGTGACTTGGACTAGGATGGTGATGGAAAGAAACAGAAAAATGGGGAAAAATGGAAAAATCAACAGGACAGGATCTGTTCCTGGGAGAGGGAGGAATGGAGAACAATTCTCAAGTGGCCGGCTAGGAAAGCTGGGTGGATTGTACTGCCATTTACGAAGATGGGATTGACTATGTGAGGTACTGGCCTGGGAAGAAATGAAGTCCTACGGTTTGGATAGAGCTGAATGTGATAGTGTGATTTGGACTTTATTTTGTGGGGTGCTGCCCCTTACTGTGAGGAAAGCCCAGTCTCTGGTCCTGCTTGGCACCTCTAGTCTTGGTGTCCACAGTCTGAGCTCTTTTGTTTCCAGAGCAGATATGATATGCAGACACTGAACATAGGACGGAGGGTCTCTGCCTGGTATAGAGGTCACAGTTGTGTTTCTCAGCACCCTTTTCTGGAGTTCTCTTTATTTACAGGTTTCCTATTTGGCTTGGCTTCCTCTAACAGCCACTTGGCATGGCCTGCAGTTGCTGAGCTGGGACCTAGATCCTTTGCCGCCTTGCTCATGGTAGCACCAGGCTCTTACTTGTTCTGTTCCATATATCTTTTAGCATCTGGTCTGTGCCTTTCCCTGTGTAACATGTGATGATGGGGACATTGGATCCTAGTGTGATTTTCATGTTGGGCCAATGGGCAGAAGAAAGCACTTGGAGTTGGAGAGGGGAGGGCACAGGTATGGGAAGAAAAGTCTTAATTATGGTCATGATTGCCCCTTAGTGCCCTAGCTAAATTAATCCTGGCCATTGTTGCCTCATCATTCACATTATTGATTTAAAAAAAATGTTGTTGTTTATTTTTTAGAGAGAGAGAGGAAGGCGGGGGGGGGGGGGGGGGGAGAGAAACATCAGTCAGCTGCCTCCTGCACACCCCGAAATGGTGAATAAACCTACAACCTAGGTATGTGCCCAGACTGGGAATTGAAAAGGCAACATCTTGGTGAATGGGTTGACACTCAACCACTAAGCCACACTGGCTGGGCTCATTATTGATTTTAGTATGTGTAGTACTTTTACTTAACATGAACACACTACAAAACTCCTTTTTGTAGGAATTGAAGACAAGTGAGTCATTTTCTGCATGAAAACAGGATAATTATTAAAGAAATGATTACAAAATACCCAAAACCCTATTCTTGATTTTCTTGCACTTGTTAATTCAAGGTAGCACTGGTGAAATTCCAAAGAGTAGTTGATATGTTCAGAACACTATTCAACTTGGCTCCTTAATCACAAGGATGCTCTCACTCCATATTTCTTCAGAGATATTTCAGAGTGCTTTCATTCTCAGAAATTCTTTAGTATCCCACGTGCTGGGTTTAGTTTGCTGCTTGAAGGTCTCTCTGTGGGGAGATAAAATAACTAATTAAACTCTTATTATATAAGCTGGCTGCAGGCACAGGCTGTGCCAGCCAGGCCCTCCATCTCCCTGAGCACAGCACTTGCCCTGAAGATGGGGATAGGGAGCAAGTCAGGCCAGTAGGAGCCCCAGTGGTTATTTCTCGGTGATTGTCATTTGAGCTATTCCGGAAAGAATTGGATGGTGAAACTCCTGGTAGGTGGGAGACCTCCACATGGAGCCAAAATAGAGCCCACCCAGAAGTGGTGGAGCCAAGACATGGATTCTGGTGTCATCCTTTGGGCCCGGAATCGAGCCACTGCTGATGCTAGTACCATCTCTGAATGTGCAGGACTGACGATTTTATTGTTGTTACACCAGTTTGTGTTGTGCTTTCTGCCACTTGTAGCTGAAATACAGCTGGCATTCATCATCTGATCCACCTTGACTCAAGGCTGACTTAGGAAGGCTAAGTGATGTGTCCCAGGCCACCCAGAGGAATGGGGTGTAGGAGCAGGAGGTGGGACACCAGCACTGAGGCAAATGCTGATTTCACCACCCTTTCCACTCTAGTAATTGATTTGGCCACAGATATAGGACTTTGGGGTTGAAATAAATGTGGGAATATACAACTTCTGAGGTTTGAGCCAACATAAAAGAAGTTATTATTATTTTTTTTTTGTCAAATATTACACTCATGAAGCACATTTATTAAGAATGGAACATCAGCCGAAACCGGTTTGGCTCAGTGGATAGAGCGTCGGCCTGCGGACTGAAGGGTCCCGGGTTCGATTCCGGTCAAGGGCATGTGCCTGGGTTGCGGGCACATCCCCAGTTGGGGATGTGCTGG